AGACCACTGGAGGAGGCCAATATGGATCATCCACTCGGCACTTCTGGCTGAAGATTGCTGTGAATGCTTCAGCCTTATCTTTTGCACTGATGTACTGGGCTCTTCCATTGAGGGTGGGACATTTGTGGAGCCTCCTCCTCCAGTCAGTTGTTCAATTGTCCACCACCATTCATGACTGGATGTGGCAAGACTGCAGAGCTTAGCTCTGTGTATAACTTGCTGCTTTTGATTTTTGACATACAAGTGTTCCTGTTTTTTAGCTTCACCGAGTTTACACCATTTTTTTTTAGGTATCAAAACAGAAATTGCTGGATAAGTTTGGCAGGTCTGGCAGCATCTGTGGAGAGAAGTCAGAGTTAATATTTCAGGTCAAGTGATCCTTCTTCAGAACTTATTTTTAGGTATGCCTGGTGCTGCTCCTGGTATGCCCTCCTGCACTCTCCATTGAATCAGGGTTGATCCCCTGGCTATATGGTAATGGTTCAGTGAGATATATGCTGGGCCATGAGGTTGCAGATTGTGTTGGAGTTGATTCTGCTGCTGTTGATGGCCTACAGCACCTCATGGATGCCCAGACTTGAGTTGCTAGATCTGTTCAAAGTCTGCCCCATGTCAAACAGTGATGGTGCCACACAACATGATGAAGGATATTCTCAATGGGACTTCGTCTCCACAAGGACTGTGCGGTGCTCACTCTTACCCATACTGTCGTGGACAGATGTATCTGTAGCCACCAAATTGGTAAAGATGAGGTCAACTATGTTTTTCCCTTTTGTTGGTTCTCTCACTGCCTACTGCAGACCCATTCCAGCAGCGATCTCTTCCAGGACCCAATCAGGTCAATCAGTTGTCTGCTGCCAAGCCACTCTTAGTGATGAACATTGAAATCCCCCACCTAGAGCACTTTTTATGTCCTTGCCACCCTCAGTGCTTCTTCCAGCATGCTCAACATGGAGGAGTACTGATTCATCAGGTTCCTGGTAATTGGCAGGAGGTTTCCTTACCCACATTTATCATGAAGTCATGAGACTTCATGGGATCCAGAGTCAATGTTGAGGGCTCTGAGGGCAACTTCATGTCTTTGTCATACATGACTTAGTTAGCACTCTCATCTCTAAGTCAAAAGATTAGAGGTTTAAGACTCAGTCCAGAGACTTGAGCGATGAGGCTGACACTCCAGTGGAGACTGAGGGAGTGCTGCACTTTCAGAGGTACCATCTTTCAGATAAATTAAACCAAATCCTTGTCTGCCCAATCAGGTTAATTTAAAAAATCCCATGACACTGAACTGTCAAAGAGCAAATGAGATATCCCTGATGTCATGGTCAATATGGATGCCATGATGAATGTCATGAAAACAAATTATATGATCATTATGACATCACTGTTTATGGGAGTTCACTGTGCAGTATATACTGCATTTCCTAAATGACAACCGTAACAAATTACACTTCAAAAATATGTCATTGATTGTAAAGAGATTTTGAACACCCTGAATTTGTGGAAGTTGCTATACAGATACAGGTCTTTTCTTTTCTTAAGGAAACATTATGCTTCCTGAACTGGAAATTATAAACCCATTGATGGAGAAGATGACAATGCCAGCTGTGAGACTGACCAATATAGTAAAAACAGGACTCTTACTATAGGATCCTGAGTGTTTCAATGAATTGGGACACACTATGCTGACAAATCAGAGCACTTGGGTTAAGAAAGACAAATTTATTGTGAGTTATAAATCTACACAGAAGATAGATAAAACAGCAGACCAACACCACCACAATACTAGACTTTGAATCAACCAAAATGACAAAGCATTTGAAAATGACTCAGGATCTTTCCCATTACATGAAATAAATCTTGGAAGAGTGTAAGGTGAACATACCACACCATTATTACATTGAGGTAAGATAAGCTGAGGGAACTCAGGTTTGGAGAGACTCACATCCCCACTCCCTCCCCATATTCAGGATAGCAGTCCTCCAAGGCAGGAGTACAAACGTTACCCATGGTATTAGTCAAACACCTGTCACCTGAAGAGGATCTGTCTATAATACACATCATCAAAGAAAGCAGCGTTTGTTTCTACCCTATTCCCACTCCCGACAGCAGCTCATTTCATTAAGACACACATATACATCAGAAGAAACTCTCTCTGAATGCTACAGACAAAGGTTTCTTTAAAATCCCATATGTTTAGTCTGATGGTCATAAATTACACTAATTTTAATGATAAAGGATGAAGGTCATTTTTTAATTATAAAAAGATATAGAGAATTGAGAAGATTGTGTATACCTTACAAAATGTTGTCCACTTTGCAATACAACAATGCATTGAACTGCAAACTGTGGATTGTGTGTACCTTTGGTGGTCAGTTGAGTTTTTGCATTGGAGGTGACTGAGGTAGATGAATTTGCCATGAATATGATATGTAATACAGACACCAGAGGGTAGTTGATCTTTGATGAGGTGAATAGTCGCTGCCAGGCAGATTATAAATAAAATGAAGACTATCACACAGCTTTAACACCAGCCTGGATTTAGAAGGTTTCTGTTTTCCCTTATCTCCCATTCATTATCATGAAGCAATGGCAGGTTCAAATAATTGGAGCACATTCACAGAGCCCCGCGGTTTATCAGTCAAATAGCTTGATCATTTCGATATAAGTAATGTAATTTTCTTGAATTTGTTTGGCAAAAAAGACCATGTCTGAGGTTCCTCTGGAAGGTCTAAATCTGAGTCCTGCTCCTCTGATGCTGCTTGGCCTGCTGTGTTCATCCAGCTCTACACCTTGTTATCTCAGATTCTCCAGCATCTGCGGTTACTACTATCTCTCAAAGTTATAAGTGATGTCTGTATCACTGAATCCATTTGGGGGCCTGATGCTGCTGGACAGATCATCGACTTGTTTGATCAGTGATGAACATCCACCTAGCACCAAGCGATCACAAGGCCCAAAGTCCAAGAGGAAGAAGATCAATGTCTCAGCCTGAAAACAGCCCGACCCAACAGAGGAATTCCAGGAGCAGCTCACAACAAATCTGTAAAATCTTCACACATCCAACTCAATTCCCAACTGTGGAATCAAAATAAAGTGAGCTGCACTAAACTCCTGAGTCCAGACCAGTTGTGTTCAACCATTGTTGATTTTCAAAGACGAATCCAGAAAATAAAGAATTAAGAGACAACAAAGGCTGGGTTTGCTTTCCTTAGAACAGAGAAGGCTGAGGGGAATCTGACTGAGGTTTACAAAGTTCTGAGGGACATAGAAAGATTAGATAGTGAGAAACTTTTTCATCAAGAGAGTGTTGAGCCTCTGGAATTCTCTGCCATTAAAAGTGGTTAAGGCCAAAACACTGAATGTTTCCGAGGAGTATGATATAGTTCTTAGGGATAAAGGGATCAAAGGGCATGAGGACAAAGTGGGAACAGGGTACTGAGTCAGATAAGCAGCCATGATCATGTTGAATGGCAGAACAGGCTGAAAGGGTTGAATTGTCTGCTCCTGCTTTACGTTTCTATGTTTCTCTTTGAAACTTTTCTCCTTAATAGAGGGATCAATAAATAGGGGACAAAGTTTTAGTGTCAAGAGAAAGAGGTTTAGAGGGAATTTGAGGAAAAAAGTTTTCACCTGAAGAGTTATGGGAATCTGAAACTTACTGCCTAAAAAGACCTTTAAGAACTATTCAGATGAACACTTGAAACACCAAAACATACAAGGTAATGGACCAGGTATTGGAAAATTGAATTGGAATAGATGATGTTTGATGAGCAGCATGGACACAATGGTCTAAAGGGCTTCTTTCCATGCTATAAAAAACCCTATGACTGTATGACTTGTGGTGGGAAGAAAAGGTCTGAGATATGCAGTAATACGCTGATCATCATGACGTTGAGTTTTCAGAAGTCACCAAGGCCGCTTATTGACCGAGGTCAAATGTACAAGAGCCTGTTAGTTTACAGATTGTGTTTCTCTTCTTAAGGATGCCAATTGCATCTATTAACTCTGGAAAGAACATTCTGAACAACTCCTCAACCGTGAATCACAGGACAGTTGATATCCTTGAGTCTGTGCATGACTGTCCCGTGGTAGAATTTATGATTGACTTAGTACCAATGAGAGATCTGCAACAAGCAAACAGATAAGAAACAACAAAGCCTGTGGTCCTGATGGCATTCCAACGTAGGGCTACAAAATTGGGACAGAGACCCAGACTCCATGTGCTAATCCTCCAGATTTGACAGGAAAAAGAATGCCTGCATATTTCCTGACTTCAGGAATGTGACAATTGTAACTATTTTCAAAAAGTGAGGTGAATCATGCTGTGGAAACTATTCTGGTATTGCCATCACATCCAGAGCTGAGAAATTCATGCATTCTCCTGAACCATCTACTTCCTCTGGCTGAGGAAATCCTCCCAGAGACACAATGACATTTCTTAATCTCTCCACTTTTGTCTTGCTGTGAATTTCCATTTGATTGTGTCTGTATGAAACACTTAGGATGTTTTACTATGTTAAAGGCGCTGCAAAACTACAAGTTGCTGTTGAGAGGTTGGTGCCCTCTTTCTCAACTCACGTTCCAACCAATCCTCAAGTTTCAGCCTGGAGGACAGACTGGAGGACATTGATTGACCTCTAGTGCCTTGTTCGAGTGGCCGTTCAGACAGCAAATGTTGTGAGACAATGGAAACTGTCACGGTCAAGACACATCCTGCCCTCCCCTGACTTCCCAGCTGGACACACTGATGATGAATGGGATTTCTGGCTGATTGTCCCTCTCCATAAACCAGAAATGCTGAGGACAATAGAAGTACGTGCATTACCATCCTAGGAATGGCTCACACCAATTGAATTGCTCCTGTGTGAATGTGTTGATGAACCAGGAGACACAGTGACTGCGTGAAAGCTCTGTCTCACATCTGAATGATTCCTCCCATGCGAATCTTCTGTGCATCACAGAGTTGAAAACTTCACAAAAGCTTTATCACAGAACTCTCAGACTATTGATTTCTCCACTGAATGAACACATTGGTGTCTGCGGAGAGATGATAACTGTGAGAATGATTTGTTACACAGTTTACGCTTGAACGGTTTTGGCCTGTACGGATCTGCTTGTGTACAAGGAGGGTTGAAGATGACAAAAAGGCTCAATGACCGTAGGAATGACTTGCCACACACCTCACATGCGAACTGTTTCTCTATAGTGTGAATGTGGCTGTGACTCACCAGGCCCGATGACCGTGCAAAGCACTTATTACACACTGAACACTTGAATGGCTTCTCGCCAGTGTGCAGACATTGATGTGCACGGAGGGTCGATGACTGAGTGAAAGGGAATGCAAAGCACTTATTACACGCTTCACACATGAATTGTTTCTCCCCTGTATGAATCCTCTGGTGTGCCAGGAGCTCAGAGAATTCAGTGAAAGGTACCTCCCACACCTCACATCTGAAGGATTTCTCTCCCTTGTGAAACATTGGTGGATGAGGAAGGTTGACAAAATCACAAAAGCTTTATCACAGAATTCACACACAAACAGTTTCTCCCCTATGTGAACATGTTGATGAATGTGGAGGTGTGATAAGTTTGAAAATGATTTCTCACACATCATGCATATGAATGGTTTCTCCCCTGTATGAATACATTTGTGTACACAGAGGTGTGATGAAAGCGTAAATGCTTCTTCACATAACTCGCATGTGAATGGTCTCTCTCCTGTGTGAATGCGCTGCTGAATTACCAGGCCAAGTGACTGTGCAAAGCTCTTGTGACAAACCTCACACTTTAATGGTTTCTCTCCAGCGTGAATATGTCGGTGTTGCAATAGCGTGGATGACCATGTGAAGGGTCACATGGTTCACACTGGAATGGTTTACCTTCCATGGAGCTGCTCTTATGTTAACAGTTGGACAACAACTTCACCTTGCAGGTTAGGGGACCTCACACACCTCACACTTCAGCAGCCTTGTACTTTTCGGAATGAGTCAGTGATTCATGAGGCTCAATGAATGATTGAAGCTCTCACCAACCTGGAGCCACCCACACTTCTTCCCATCCTCACCCTGACCACCCACAGCTGAACATTTGGAAAGGTTGGTTCCGATGGAAGGCTCCACACCAATGACCAGTTTCAGATCTGATGATGTCAAAGCTCCCCTGACCAAACCAATTTCCAGATGATGGTTTCACTGCCTAACTTTCTCTGTGTTAAGCAATGCTGTGAAGGGACTGGATATCTTCCCAGAGTCATGCAGTTGTTCCTTGGGCGATGGTCAGGATCTATCTGCAGTGTCTATTCTCTCTGCGTTCTCTACTGCAGTAAGTGCAATCCTTCGGTAAAACAGGAAAAGGAAACGAGATTTCCTCAAACTCATTTTCCCTCTTTGCCAAGGGGGCTGACTCCACAGTTAGTTCCACAGTGAGTATCTGTCTGCAATTCTCCTGTGTGGGGGATCAGATGCAAGTCCTTTCTTTTCCCTTATTTGACTGCGACACACTCTTTGATACCACCAGGGACGTTGGATAGTGACCAATAGCAGACATCACAACTACTTAAGTAAAGCAGACTACTGTGGATGCTGGAAATATGAAACAAAAATAAGGAAAATGCTGGAGAAACTTAGCAAGTCTGAAAGCATTTGTGGAAAGAGAAACAGAGTTAATATTTCAAATCAAATATGACATTTTTCAGAACTTGGCCAATTTCTTTTCACTGTCCAGATCATCCCAGGTCTCATAATGGCAATGAAACTGAAAGTCAGGCAGAATAAAAAAGGGCTACCAAATCACTATGAGCTTCAGACATGCTGTTGAAGAATAATTTTACTCTATATTTTGTGCAAACACTCAAAAGAAAATTGTCCTCTTGTTTTCCAAACTTATTTTAAGCAAGGATACTGGGCAAAGTACTTCAAGCCAGGGAAAATATTGCTTCAGCGTAGCTGATTGAAGGGTCCTGGCTTATCCTGGGAAATTAGATCCACGATATTCACTCAGCTGAATTTGGGATATGTAGCCATTGCACTGAGTGAAAACTATCAAATCAAATGCCTTTTAGGAAAGGCTGAGATCTTCAAGTAAAATCTTTAAAGAAGGCAATAAAAGATGTTTCAATAAATACGTCTCCAGGTATGGTAGCCAATTTGCCACAGCACTGGTTATACAGGTAGAACAATCTTCATTAACCGTTATCTGCACATGGATACTCACAGTCTGCAGAGCAGTCACTCTCCTGATAACATACTGATTCTGATTTGAGGAATGAAATTGTGATTCAGGGAAGAACTCTCTGCTCAAGGCGTTACCTGTACTTAAGGAATGACTGACTTGGATATTGACTTCAAGGCAAACAACTCGGAGGAAATCATATCAAAATGAAAAATTCTGCAGGATGTCAGATTCACAGAGTTTCTCTTACTTCAGTTAAGTCAGAAAGAAATGCCGCTCATCACTGGGCAAAATAGAGAACTAGTTCTAAAGGAACGGCAAGCAGACAGCTTCATGAGGGACAGAAATGACCTGAGGCCATGCCATGGATCTGTGTGTCTTGGATCTCTGATCTTAACTAGGCCAGGAACTAAATGGAAGATGGGACCTTCAGTACCAGTGAGGATGATGTATTTGAAACTGGGAGCCTCAAACTTTTATATTTTTACTCCGTAATGTTAAGAAAATAGTCTTATCACCAGTCACAGCAAACATATGTACAGTAGTCCTCAACTACAATAACACAACATCAATGAAGGTCCAGGTCACTGCTCACAACATTGCCTCTCAAGAATAAATAGCCTTGATAAATTGATGAGCTGATACAGTTTTCAACTAGATTGTATTGGCTGTTTACATTAATATCAATGCTACGTTGTAGATTTGTAAACAGAAATGATCATTTATCAAGATCCCTTCAAATCATTTTCTGTTTCACTTCTCCAGAGGATGTTATAAACTGTCATGAATACAGCTCTTCGCATCATTACGAACAACTGAAATTCCTGCCTGTCTTTGTATTTCTGTAACCGACTCTTGTTGTGGACCAGACCAGATCCCCCAGAGTATATTACGGAGATAGCCTGGACCCTAACTTTCATACCTAGACCCTAATTTTTATACTTTTAAAAAGGTAAGTGTAAGACGCTGTGTTCCAGATATGATTCAATTGATCCACCACAAGGCTTTAATCAAAACACCCTTTATTCTTAAAATACAACAAAAAGAAAAATTGGTGTAACTCTATTGAAATACTTAACAAGATAATGTATTATTTAACCACTAATCATCAACTATTCCAATATAGGCAGCATTCCATAAACAAATCCTTAACTAGGCAATTCAGCAACAGTTATTTTTCTCACGTACTGTCTCTCTCCAGTCCAATAGACAGAAACTCCGAAAGAAACAATCTGTCCCTTTTGATTTTTAAGAGGAAGCCTCTCTGTCTAAGACTTCACTCTAGCTGCAGAGAACACAATCTTTCAACCCTAGCAGGCAACAAAAACCTATTCAACCAACTGAAAGCAAAACTAAAGCCCTTTTGGGTCTGTGTGAGCCTGACCTCACTCACTCATGATTCTTGCATCTTATTTTTAAAAAAAAATCCAGGGAGAACTCAAAGCTGGTTACCAACCGCCTGCCTGAAGGATACATTTCACCAGCACTATGACAACATTCCTCTGCAAGAGAAACAGGACAGAACACATTTCTTAAAGGCACAGTATCATCACACTCTCACACAGTATCCATTAAGTGGCAGTGAACAGGAAATCCTCAAATGTTCAATTGTAGAACTCTGAGTGATACAAGATAAAATAACTGCAATTGTGACCACTTTATGAACAGACACATACCATATCCAACTGGGACTACAGTGCTGGTTTTAAAGCTACGTATTATTACAGCCAATTCAGGGTGAGAGACGCATGAATTAATGGATCCACAAAGCTTCCCAAATGCAGCAAGGTCTGACTACAAAAGAAAAGCAACTATGAGGGACCCTAATGTAGATCAACGAGCACATGGACCCCAACGTGGAATGGGAATCAGCACATGGGAAGTAGAGTTTTGATGACTTCTCCCAAAGGATCTCTGAGTTCTCCAAAGACTCGTCCCAGGAACTTTAGACCTTTTCCTCAAATGTACAAAGCCCACTGGCTGGGGTTTGAAAAATCGCTGGAAAAGAAACTGCTTCTGATTGGTTCTTTCCACTCCCCCCCTGCCCGCCATGTGGATCCACTGACGAAAGTGGATCCCATGATCCAACATCACAAGCCCTAATCATCTGGTCATGATCACATTGCAGTTTGTGAGAACCTGCTCACATTGGATGCCATATTTGCTACATTATAACATTAACTACATTTCAAGAAGTGCTTAAATCACTGTAAAGGGCTTTTTGATGCCCTGAGATTGTGCAAGTTGATATATAAATGCAGATATCTCTTTATAATGGAAACTTTATGCTTCCTGTGAATTGGAAATTAAACATCCACAAGGGAGAAAATAGGAGGTTTCGTGGTACAGTGGGTAGTATTCCTGCCTCTGAGTTCAAGTCACAGAACTTGTTGGTTGTGGATTATGTTTCTAATATAGTCAAACAAGCTATTATCAAACTTTAAATCTTTCCAATATGCCTAAAAGTGAAGAATAGCCTGGGTGGCCATCATTGATGCAGAGTGGTGGCCCCTCAAGCTATACTTATGTAGTCATTTTCACCATCCTGTTCAGACACCTTATAACACACACGGCAGGTGGGACTTGAGAGCAGGCCTCCGGGCCCAGAGGTGGTACAGTACCAGTGTGCCACAAGAGCCCCCTGTCTAGCAAACTCTGTTTAGATATTTTCTAGTCAACCTATTCAGTGATATTATTACACGATATCATGTCCAGAGCTGTGGAAATTGATTTTCCTTTAGGGATCTGTTCAAGTGGCCATTCAGTATGTGGCGACCTACACAGTGAACCAGAGAATTGTACAGTACAAAAGGACCAAAAGCTCTGTAGTCTGTACCACCCTAACCCTACTACATACATTAGTTCCACCTTCCCACAGCATTCCAGACCCTAGCCTTCTGGATGAAAAATATTTTCCTCAAATCCCCTCTAAACGTCCTGCCTTTCACTTTACAATTATGCCCCCTTATTGAACCTTTGCCTAAGGGGATCAGCTACTTTCTATTCACCTTGTCCATGCCACTCATAATCTTATTCACCTTAATTTGATCCCCCTCAACCTTCTCTGCTCCAAAGAAAACTATCCAGCCTCTCTTCATAGCTGAAATGCTCCATCCCAGGCAACATCCCTGTGAATCTCCTCTGCAATCCCTCCAAAGTAATCACATTCTTCCTGTTGTGTGGTGTTTAGAACTGTACACAATAGTCCAGCTGTGGCCTAAACGAAGTTCTGTACAGCTCCAACATAACCTTCCTATTCTTATAATCTATGCCTTCACTGATAAAGCCAAACAACCCAAATGCCTTCTTAACTACCCTATTAACTGGTCCAGCCATCTTCAGGGATCTGTGGAAAAGCATCCCAAGATCCCTCTGTTCCTCTGAGCTTCCTGGTGATCTGCCATTCATTGAGTACTCCCTTGACTTGTTACTTCTTGCAATGCTATGAGATAATGGAGACTGTCACAGCTGAGTCACATTCTGCCCTCCTCTGACTTTCTAGTTCAGCTCACTGATTAGGAACAAGATTCCTGGCTGATTATCCCCTCCATAGACCAGAAATGCTGAGGCTCATTGAACTATCTCCATTACCAGACAGCAAATATTGTGAGACAACGGGGACTGTCACAGCTGCGACACATCCAGTACATATGATAAAGTTTTACAATAAATTCTTAATAAATGGGAACTTGTATTCTAAGGCAGAGGTTTTTGTTTTAGCTCTGTGAAGGTAATTCATTTTTGAAATATCACAAGATCATTTTGAACAGTAACTTCTGAACAACCTTTCCAAGAAAGCATGTGACTTAAACTAAATGACTAAAGAAGCTACCTGGAAGAAAAGTACGGATGTTGAGTGGATAATGACTACCTTGATCGGATTATTGCTCACTGCATATCACACAAGTTCATGAAAGGCCCTAACACTGTTACTTTTGGTCCTGAAAAGTGCCTATCAAATTCAGGTTATCGTGGAATGGTAAGGAATCACAAACATTGAGCAATAGCTGCAAGTTGTTTAATATGCTACTTTGCAGTAGCAACATGAGTAGCGCTCATCACTCACAGGCTGTGGCCATCAAGCCAGAAGTATGTCCTGCCTATCTTATAAATGAGCAATGGTGGATATGAATTTCAATGCTAGTGTGACCTTAGGTACTCTTTCCATAGACTGCTGGCTCATATGAAACAAAAATATATTTTTGGCTGTTCACAATAAATAAAGTATTGACTGTACCATTCTCAACTTAACAAAAAAGGGTGGTTTTCTGGTTAATTTTTCAGAACAATACCTTGACCTATCAGTGACAATCTGTCTGATTTAAAATTTGTACAAGCTTAACAATTTTCTGTCACTGATCATTAACTTGGCCACTATCCATAGCAATGTCTCTACCAATCAGAGTTCACCTGCCAACCGGCACTCTTCACTCACACAGTATGAATGTTGCATCTCCTTGAATTTGGTATTTCTTGTAAATTGTCCTGATGAGTGCACGACCATAGATTTTGATAAAATATGTCTTTTTTGGCAGTACTTGAATTCTGCACAACCAAATGACTATGTGATAGGTACAAGGAGGTACTGAACAAAAAAATTGATTCTTAAGTATATTTCAGAGATCAGATTTAAATGTGGCTTTGACTGTTGTGAACAATTTTCCAGAAACTGAGGACAATATTTACAAAGACAAATGGAAAGTGAGGAGAAAGAAAAAGAGCAATGGAAAGAGAAATGGAATGAAAAGATCTGGATCTTCAAAGAGGCTGAGAACTCAACAACATGACCTGCTGAAAGATAAGCTTAGAGTAAAGTAAGAAAAGAAAAAGGGGTCGTAGCTTGGAGGATGATTCTGATTCCAATGAGGTATTTGATTTGACCAGAAATTTACATTAGTGACTAAATTTACAAAGAATGGTGTGGAAAGATGCTTCAGTTCATTTGAAAAAGTAGCTGGAAAGATGAAGTGGCCAAAATAATTTTGGACCTTAATTTTATAGAATGTCTTGACAGGTAGAGCTATAAGCTTGTATACCAGTTTGTGAGAAGAGCAATCGGCAAGCTATAAAACTGTTAAAAAGGCAATATTCAATCCTATTGGTTTGTCCCTGAAACTTATCAATTAAAATTTAGCCCTATAAGCAGGAAATCTAATCACACATTTAAAGTAATTTCAAAGCAAAAAAAAGGATTAGTAATTGTTTTACCGAAAAAGTGTGAATGTAAGAGATATCATGATTATGGAAGAATTTGTTAATAGTAGTCCAGTAGTCCTTAAGACTTATTTATACGAGTATCAAGTATCAAAAATCTGAGAAACACCAATTCTGACAGATATACATGTTTCCAACACGGACAGTTACATGTAGGGAAACAGACATAAAGAATCAACAAAGAATATGAGAAGTAGAAATTCTGGGGAAGGGAAACATATCAATTTTAGGCAACAAATAAAAGGACACCAAAATAATAAAGGAGAAAGCCTTGAACATGTAGTGACAAAAAGGATGACTTAGATTCATACAGTCATTAAGTCCAACTCGTCCATGCGACCAAGTTTCCCAAACTAAGCTAGTCCCATTTGGCTGCATTTGGCCCATATCCCTCTATATCGTTCCTATTCATGTACCTGCCTAAATGTCTTTTAAATATCGTAATTGTACCTGCATCTACCATTTCCTCTGGCAGTTCATTCGAATTCACAACCCTCCTTTGTGTGAAAAGGTTGCCCCTCAGGCCACTTTTAAACTTGATGTACTAAAGCTATTTGATGGAAGTTAAATGTTCAACCTAATACAGTTGTAGGAACACTGAAAAGAAAAGAATGTACTGGGAAAGAAATGGGCATTAAAACTGCAATGCTGGTACAGGTGATATGTGTTCCCTTGGGATATACTAGGAAGTGGTGCCTCTGGACAGTCAAGAAAATTCTTCATCGATATTGATAAAGAAAATCACTGAATATTTTATTTCATGGGAAGGGGTATTTCCCCATACTTATATTCAAGAAGCTAAAGCTATAAAGATATTGAGAGTTACTGGAGCAAGACAGTTACTAATGCTGGCTGATGATACAATTTGTCATCCAGAGGGGTTAATGAGAAAGGAAGTATTATCTGGAAATATATGTGGAGGTTACAAACTGATTCCATTATATAGAGTTATACTAAAAAGTGAATAGTGAGTAAAGATGTTGTAGTTGGAGTAGTGCAACAAATCCTATAGGAGGAATTGATTTTATCTTGGGAAACAACCTGGCTGCTTCCAAAATATTGACCTCACTGCAGGCATTGACTGTGGTATGACTAAATCTTGAGCACACTGAATTGGAATTAGACTGGAAGCGGTGTCCAGAAAGGGAAATGACTTGGAAATTCAGTTATCTGACAAGCTTTTCGAAAACTTAAGTAAAAAGAATGAAGTAAAAAGAATGAGGCTTATAGGTTAACCCATCTTCTTTAAAGAATGCACAAGACAGATCTTGATCAAAAAATATCAGACAGCCGACTCAGAAATTAAATCAAAACCAATAACTGAGTATTATTATTTAAAACATAAAATGGTAATGAGGAAACAGAGAACACTCCAAATATCAGCCAATAAGGAATGGGTATTGGTCAATCAGGTAGTGGTTCCAGATGAGTATTATAACAAAATTTTATGATTGGCTCACAAAATTTCAATGCCAGCTCACTTAGGTAGGAAAATTCTTGCTAAAGTACGAAAATATTTTCGTTGAACAACAAGATTACGTAAAGATTTTGCCAGATATGCCATTCATGTTGGGTAGTGGGGAAATCCCAACCATTAATTAAACTTGCATTTTTAATTCCAATGCCAGTTCTTGAAGAACAGTCACCAGCGCCTTAATAGATTGTGTAGAACCCCAACTGAGATCAGGATTGGGAATTGGAACTTTTTAACAATTATGTATGTTTCAACAAGATCTCCTGAAACAGTACGTTTGGGGAAAATTATGACCAAAAAAAAGGGAATGGAAAGGTTATCCTAATTTTTTTTTAGAAAATATGGATTACACAAAGAAATCCAATCATATTAAGATTCAAACTTTATGTCACAAATATTCAAATAAATCATGAATAGTTGAAATAATTTAAATCTGAAGATTATCAACTCCAATCTCAAGGAGCTTTTGATCAATAAAATTGAACTTTAGGGGCCATACTTTGATCTTACTGTCAATAATGCCCAATTGATTGAGATAAAGGAATTCCCTTGCTACAGTTTGCCATTAAGTATGCTGTGATGATTCCACAACATTCAGTCCTTTTGAAGAGGCTTACGGATGAGCTAAGAGGATCCCTTAAATTGTGCAACAAAAATTTGTTAACCAAACTTTCCAAACTGCCCTACATAAAGAAGGTAAAGTCTCCATAGTCCTACCAGACCGTAGGGTTGCTCTCTCATTAGAAAGGGATGATTGGTCATAGTTTAACCTGAGGGTCACCACACCTCAGGCTAGGGGAGAGATTGAGGAGAGTCCTTTGTGGTAACCTTGGCCAGCTGCACTGCAGTGATGCCAACAGCAAGGTTTCAATTCCTGCACTGGCTGAGATTACTGTAAAGGACTCTACTTCTCAAATTTTACCCTTAATCAAAGGAGAAACCTAGGAAACGTTATTACAGAAATATCTGGATGGACTGTGAGAGATGTCAATCAGACAGCCCACCCACTCTGCCCATTCCCTCCTCTTCCTCTTCCAGAGCTGGTTCACTTCCTATAGGGACTGAAAACCAAATGAGGAGATGGTGAGTGAAGGAGCAGCTTTTGTATCCCATAATATCCATACCAATCTCCAGGCAGTCTGGATATTCAGGCGGTGGAAATGTCCCTTATGCTGTGTGAGAACAGCTGTTATTCGGTGCTTTGAAATGAACAGTCAGCACTTTCAGTAAAGCAGGAGAAGGCATTCGAGGAAGTCATGTTTCCTTTTCTGTTTTTCAGGATTGCACATACCACACCAGAAAATACAGATAGATAAACACTGCAAATAGATGCTGACCATCACCCAAGGAATAACTGCACAACTCTGGGAAGACATCCAGTCCCTTCACAGCATTGCTTAGCACAGAGAAGGTTGGTCAGTGAAACCATCATCTGGAAATCGCTTGCATCTGTGGAGTTTTGACATATCAACAGATCTGAAACTGGTCAGTGGTGTTGAGCCTTCCACCAGAAACAATCTTTCGAGGGGTTCGGTGTGGGTGATTGGTCAGGGTAAGGCTGGGAATAAATGTGAGTGGCTTGAAGTATGATGAAAGCTTCAATCATTCTTTGAGCCTGATGAACTACTGACTCGTTCCTAAAGAGAAGAGGCTGTTCAAATATGAGAAGCTCTTGGAGAAGATATATGCACATTTGGAAGAAAATGGACGACTTAGTGACAGGCAGCATGGTTTCAAACAGGGATGATCATGTCTCACCAACCTGATGGAATTTTCTGAAGAGGTGACAGATAGTTGATGAGGGAAGAGCTGTGGATGTAGTTTATATGGACTTTAGTAAGGCATTTATAAAGTCCCACTTGGCAGATTGATGCAAAAACTAAAATCACATGGGATTCGGGGTGGGCTGGCTAGATGGTTACAAACCTGGCTTTGTCATAGAAGACAGAGGCTAGCGATGGAAGGCTGTCTTTCAGAATGAAGACTGGTAACTAATGGTGTTCCACAGGAATCACTCTTAGGTCCTCTGTTGTTTGTAGTATGTATAAATGATCTGGAGGAAAATGTGGGTGGTCTGATTAGTAAGTTTGTAGATGACACAAAGATTGGTGGAGTTGCTGATAATGCCGATGATTGTGAAAGGATACAACAGGATATAGATAGATTGGCGACTTAGGCCCAGAAATGGCAGATGGAGTTTAATCCAGACAAATGCGAGGTGTTGCATTTTGCAGGATCAAATTTAAGTGCAAATTATACTGTTAATGGCAGAACTCTTAGGAACATTAACACACAGACGGATCTGGGTGTGTAGATCCACAGTTCACTGAAAATGGCAACACAACTGGCCAAAGTGATTAAGAAGGCATATGGCATGCTTGCGTTCATCGGCTGGGACATGGAGTGCAAGAGTTGGCTAACCATGTTGCTGGAGAGGTAGCGGGATCGTTGCCCGCATTCTCCACTCCCTTTGGGCGGCACGGTGGCTCAGTGGTTAGCACTGCTGCGTCACAGCACCAGGGACCTGGGTTCGATCCCATACTCGAGCGACTGTCTGTGTGGAGTTTGCACGTTCTCCCTGTGTCTGCGTGGGTTTCCTCCAGGTACTCCGGTTTCCTCCCACAGTCCAAAGATGCGCAGGCAAGGTGGATTGGCCATGCTAAATTGCCCGTAGTGTTCAAGGATGTGTAGATTAGGTGGGTTATAGGGGGATGGGTCTGGCTGGGATGCTCTGAGGGTCTGTGTGGACTGGTTGGGCCAAAGGGCCTGTTTCCACACTGTAGGGATTCTATGATTCTATGATAAGCCTCTTGAGTCTGTGCTAGTCCAAAACAAGCAACTAATGATCCTAATCCCATTTTCCAGCACTTGGCCATTGTTTTGAATGTCTTGGCATCGCAAGTGCTTGTCTAAATACTTCTTAACTGTTATGAGGGTTTCTGCCTCTACCACTCTTACAGACAATGAGTTCTAGGCTGGAAAAGGGTGATGTTAAAGAGAAGGAAGTAGGTGATCTTTGTGATGGAGAAGGTATGAGTTCAGAAGTAGAGCTGGAGGTAGAAGAGGATCCCACAGACCAGTTGTTGGAGACGATAGTAAAGAGGGCATTGAAGAGGAATTTAAGGAATGTAGGAACTGGAGCAATCGCTTGAACCTATTACACCAGTCAATTAGATCATGGCTGCTCTATATCTTAACTCTACCTATCTGCCTTGACTCTGTAATCCTTAATCCTCTTGCCTAACAACAGAACTATCAACCTCACTTTTGAAATTTTCAATTGACCCCCAGCTTCGACAGACTTTTGTGGGGAGAGTTCTAGATTTCCAGTCCCCTTTTTGGGAAGAAGTGCTTGTTGACATCACCCTGACATCACCCAGAACAGCCTCGTTCTAATTTTAATGCTCTGCTTCTTGATCTGGACTCTCCCACCAGAGGAATCGTTTCTCTCAAACTACTCAATTAACTCGTTTAATCATCTTAAAAATTTCAATTAGATTATCTCTTAATTTTCAAGAGAATGTAAAATCTGTCTGTGTAACCTATCCTCATAATGTAATCCTTTTAACCCGAAGAGCATTCTGGTGAATCTGTGTTGTGCTCTCTCCAAAGCCAATATATCCTTCCTGAGGTGCAGTGTCCACCACTGAACACAGTTCTGCAGATGGGGTCTCAACAGAGCTCTGTACAACAGCAACATAACTTCCACAAGGAAGTTGGTTTAGGGGAGGAGAAGTTGTAGGTTATCTTTTCTCTTCAGGATGCACCTGGAATAATGAGCAGTTTTGACAGAGGAAAGCAGGACCACTAGAGCTTGATGTGGATCAATCAGATCTGGAGATGGATGGATAAATCAGGTGTGATAAGATATGCTCAAATCTTCACTCCTTGGGCTCGAGGTGCAAGGAGATTGATCAGGAAGAATGAAATGTAAAGGTAATTTGGGGAGCAACAGGAATGAAGGTGCAGGAGAGCATTGGAATGGTCTAACTACAGGGAGGGAGTAGTTAAATCAGATTGACAGCGACAAAAGCACTGTGGTGAATGGAGGGCCAAAGGGCAGGGAGTTGAGAAGTAAAAAGGACCATCCAACTCATCTGTGGAAAGAGGATCTTCTAGGAATGGACACTGATTGGCCCATGGGCCCATGTGATCACTGGATCTCTGTAACCATTGGTGGGTTTGTACAATGGAAATATGGTCAACCCTGTATCACTGAAGTTCAGTGTCATTTCAGACTGTTGGAATTGGGAGCCAGACTAAAGTACAGGGATTTCAAAGAAATATTCTGAGAGAATTTCCCCTGATGTGAGTGTGTGTGTCTAATAGTAAAGTGAGCCAGCTCTCAGGATTGGGTATGGTGTAAAATCAGACCCTGCTTTAGTTGGTGACGTGAATTACAGACAGATCCTCTTCACATGATTAGTGTTTGACGAATACCATAGGGAATGTTCGTACTTGCCTGTCTGGAAGGACTGCTATCCTGAGTATTGGGAGGGAGTGGGGGTAAGTCTCTACAGACCTAAGTTCCCTCAGCCCATAATGGCTTGATGTAATGATGGTATTATGTGTTCTTCCACGATTCATTTCATGCTCTGGGAAGATGTTTCATCATTCTCAAATGGTTTGTTATTTTGGTTGATTCAATGTTTGTTGTGAGCTGAATATTGCATTGTTTCTTCTTTCCTGTTTTATTAATCTTCTGTATAGATTTATAAGTTACGATTTTCTTTTACGTTAACCTGTTTTGTCAGAATGGTGTGTTCCTATTCTCTGAAACACTCAGGGTCCTATAGTTAGAGTCCTGTACACAATATATTTATTGGTCAATGTCATTGTGGGCTGGGATGCAGCCTTTATCAATGGGTTTATAGCTTCCAGTTCACAGGAAGCGGAACTTCCCAAGAAAAATGGAAAGACTTGCATTAATATATCAACATTCATAAACCCAGCCCACCTGAAAGGAGATGACCCATCTGAGGAAGGGTGACCGGACCCGAAACGTTAACTGATTTTTTTCATCACAGATGCTGCCAGATCTGCTGGGCTTTTCCTTAAACTTCTGTTTTTATACCTGAAAGCAGCTTTATCGCTAACACAGCCTATCTGAAAACACCCCCTCTCCAGTTAAGCTTTTGAGAGGTGAAGTCAACGTTGTAATTTAGGAAGCAGCAGACCGTTTACACAAACAAGCCCATGTGTGATAATGACCAGAAAACCTCTTTTTGTGACATTAATGGTGAGAA